TTGATTCACTAGCAGGCACTATGGCGTATGAGTTTGGTGACTTTCTCACAGGATTTAGGAGCTGAATACCTAGATGTTAACTCATACAAGGCTGCACAAGTGGGCCGAGCAGAGTGGCTCATGCCTCTAGGCCTAACACTCTGGGAGGATGAGCTCAGAAGGTGGAGACCAGCCTGAGCAAGAGCGAGACCCTGTCTTTACAAAAAATAGAAAAAATTAGCCGAGTGTGGTGGTGCACACCTGTAGTCTCAGCTACTCAGGAGACTGTGGCAGGAGGATTGCTTGAGCCCTGGAGTTTGAGGTTGCAGTGAGCTGTGATGACGCCACTGCACTCTAGCCAGGGCGACAAAGTGAGACTCTGTCTCAAAAACAAAAAAAAAAGGGCTGCAGAAGTACTTGAAAAATTACAGTTGCATTAAATGATATAGGATACTAAGATGTTATAGAATAAAAAAGTTGTATGACTGCAATATGTGCTTTTAAAATCCAGCTTTGATTCGAAGTTATCCATCTCTAATAATACATAAAAGTGAATATACATCCATGTAGGGGACCAATTTCTATCTGCTATCATTAGCTTCTGGCTAAGTCACTGATTATTAGTGAAAAAAGCAACTTATATGTTTTTCTTTAATTTAGAAAAAGGCAATTTGTATGTTTTTCTTTAAGTCTTTACACAGACTCAGCTACAGACACAGCTTAACAGATAGTGTACTTCTCTCTTTTGGCTAGGATAGCTTCAGAAGAGAGCTGTCCTTTGAAACCTGAGCATATCAGATGGTTGAAAGTATGTGGTATGTGTACCTTATACAGGACCTGTCATCTGAGAAGAGAAAGGGTCGGTTCAATCTTTCATTCTCTGATTAATCTCACTCTAGCTCTCAGAAGTGATATATAAAGAATTCTTGATTATCAAGAACCAGGCCCACATGTGGCTTACGTGTAGTAGGCAATTATAGAAAAGCAATAACCGGTCATTTATTACATACTTCCATGTGCTCGGCGCTGTGCTGAGTGCTTCGTGTACATGTCATCTTCCTAAAAATCTGTAAGGTAGGTACTATTACCAGCCTCATTTTTCAGCTGAAGAAACAGAGAGAAGTCAAATAACTTGCTCAAGGTTATAGAGCTAGTAAGTGGCAGAGGATTCATAGTCAGGTTTGTCTGGCCTAGAACTCCCACTCTTAACCATACTGTACTTTGCCCCTACGTTAAAGGAACAGGTTGCATGTCAATCTCGTGTTCTAACAGCTTATTCTAACTTGGAGCTATTATAGTTACTATACTATACTATAACATCTGGTTTTATTGAGCTGTTTTGAAATATTCTAATATGCCAGTTTAGCATATCTATACTTTCCTTATATTTTCACTTTTTAAAAGAAGAAATGCCTTGTTCTTTGGCAA